GTACTGTCCACTGCATACATTTGTTTACATAATGTACTGTCCACTGCATACAATTGTTTACATAATGTACTGTTCACCGCATACATTTGTTTACATAATGTACTGTCCACTGCATACATTTGTTTACACAATGTACTGTCCACTGCATACATTTGTTTACACAATGTACTGTCCACTGCATACATTTGTTTACACAATGTACTGTCCGCTGCATACCTTTGTTTACATAATTTAAACATGGGAGCTAATTTTAGTGAGAATAAACTAATATTTTGTTATATTTAGCTAAAACTCAACACTTCACTGTTACAAAAATTCTCATGAAGGCAACCGAAAACGGAGTTTCAGAATCCACAACGGATTTTTACTTCTAAATTTCATTCAAACGTTTTGTGACAACGCGTGTTGCACAAGCTGTTTTTAAGTGGTGATTCTACGATGAATAATAACAGTAAACAGAACAAAACAATGTCTTATCTTTTGAAATATATGGAATATTTTGACTAATAAACGTTGATATATATTAAAATTCAGACATTTATATATTTTCACTGCATATATCAAAATAAATATTTATGCATATCTAATCTCCGACATGTCCTTTTGTGGAAGAAATATATACATACATATATATTTATGTACATATTTACAGAAGATCGAGTACGTTATATCAAACGATTTTGAATATGTAAATCACAGCCGATGTAAAGCTGCGATGGGATGTATCAGAACTATACTTTGATATTGTTGGCCGTTTGTTACGTTGAGTAATGCCAATAAAAATTTATCGGTTTTGGGAAGGGTTTAAAACGACCCTTTCCGACGCAAAATATTCATATACTCCGATCATAAACTTGTGTTCATTCGAGGATTTACAATTTTCAAGAAAGGAATATCTCCTGTACTTAATGGCTATTGTTTGTTTGTTTTAGCGCAAAGCTACACAATAGGTTATTTGCGCTCTGTTCAGTACGAGGAATCGCATTCCGGATTTTAGTGTTGTAAGTCCGTATACTTACCGCTGACCTACGAGGTTAGGTACTCAATGGAATTGGAAAACAAAATAATATGGCTCAGCTTGAGGAACCATAACAATTAAGAAAGAGATTTACAGCAACTAGTATCCCAGCCGTGGAAGGGAGTGTCTACGGGAGTGGCGTGGGGACAGACCCCAGTAAAGAGCTCTGCCCTAGCAGCCTCCCATCTCAGAAATAATGATTTAGTTTTTTTAAGATTTTCAAATTCTCTCTACATTGTGACTGCCACTTACAGCGTCTTGCAATAGGTAAGTAGAAAAAGCCGCCCACGTGTCTCAGACAACAATACGTAACATAACTCCCATTCAATCATTACATACCTCAACCAGCTGGAGAATGAAACTGATATTCATACTATTTCTATTTCATGCCGAAATATACCGTTCAAGTTGCCTTTGGATTTCTGTGCTATCAAACTCTGAAAATGGCAGTGGGAAACTCTCATCTTCGTACACCAGATAGATTGTGGAAAGCATGCAGGGAGGAGTGGTGTCATTTGAGCATGATATTCTTACGACAGAACCTTTTGCTATAGAAACTACGCTGCAGGTCTATTGTCAAGGTGCACGGTCGTTAGACTGAGTATCATCAGACGTGGTTACATGGACTGTAATGAAGTAGTGAGGCTTCGAAATCATTTTCATATAACGTACTCAGCTCCCATTTTACAAAGTCTGAAGCACCTAGTAATTAGTTCGCCCCCACGAAGTTTTCTATGAATCCCATGTTGCACTGTTGAGTAGTGTCAAAAACAAAAAGCTAGAGACTGCAACAGCCAGCCAGTATAATTCAAGATGTCACGAGGAAAGGAACTCACGAATTTTCAAAGAAGAATAGTTGTTGGATGGAGTTTGAAAGTTAGAGATATTTTAACTACCCTACTCACACCTAAATCATCTCTGAGTAATATTTTGAAAAAATAGAGGACCAATATATATTTAACGTAGAATATATGTCCGACCATATGTAGTAAATTAATCAGTCCACGAGAATTTTAAAACGTTGTGTGAAATGACTGCACTCGTTGCAAATATACAACTAAGAACTTTACTGATATTTAAGAACTGCAGGCAATTAAAATCATTGTGTGCTTAGAGCTTCAAGTAGCTGAATCTTAAGGACGGGTTGTATATCTTACACCACTATAGAGCAGTAAATGCAAGACACTGAAACTGTGCTGAAAAATAATAGAAACCATCCAGTAGAGCAACGAATCCCATATGGAATGCATTGGTTATGACTGTGTCATTTTAATTGTGAAGATTGCATGGTGGGAATAATATCGGCAGAAAACTTAGTGTGTGTGTGTGTATGTTCTATAGCAAAGCCACATTGGGCTATCAAACCCCTAATTTTAGCGAGGGACAGGAAACTAAGACAACTACATCATAATATCTCTTATTCAACACAGATCAGTGAGTTTTGTCCAGATAAATCGTTTCCCGATGTTATGGAATGCTGCGCAAGAATGAGAAAGGAGAAACTACTAGAGCAGCTTTGCAAGAAACGTATCAGCCTATATAACCAGAAGTGTAACAACTGTTAGTAACAGAGTCTAGGCCTTTATTAACACCAAAGGTTGAACCATTTCTGTTGAAGTTGAAGCTCAGCAGCAAAGTACGACATCCAAGTGTTATATTCCGACATTTTTTGGTAAAATAGGGTATTCACTTACAGTTTAGATAATTGCTTCTCCACCTGCTGTTTGTAGTAACAGATTAACCCATAATTGGTGTTTGGATGGGAATTCTCTGACGGCACCGACAACTTAAAGATACAAAATTATTACGGTACCCAAGTTAAGAATATTTTTTTAATTCTATAGAAAAATCCGAAACAGCTTCAATAAGAACATTCAACTAATTTCACCGAACCTAGCCAAATTGAAGTTAGTTCTTGAGAATTTTAAAGGATCCTTTACAATGGTTAACACTTATGAGAGTTTCAAACAGAACTGAAAACAAATGGCTGAGAAGTAAAATGGATTTCCTCGTGAAGCAGCAAACCACTACCACTGGTGAAGATGAGCGAACTCCCACATATCCACCAAGAAAATCTAGGTGACATTTGTTTTGGATGAGAGGCTTATCGATTCTTACCAGTTCTAAAGTCGTCTAGGATATACGGACATTGGCAACCTTAATGATACGTCATTACGACGCTCTGTTCTCCCCCTCCCCTCCCATGTAAGAACCTCAGAAATTATACTTTCAGAATAAATAATGCACTGTGATACATTCTGAATCAGGCATTAACCAACTTAGTACTAAAGGTATACTGTTAGAAAAATTAGCTTTTCAACACATAATGTTGAATAGTCAGTATATTTTGATTTTGGGGCCACGCATTGTCAAAATAAGCACTTCAACATAAAATGTTAGAGTAGTTCGCATATTTTGATTTTGGGGTCACGCACTGTCAAAATAAGCACTTCAACATAAAACGTTAGAACAGTCTGCATATTTTGATTTTGGGGTCACGCACTGTCAAAATAAGCACTTCAACATAAAATGTTAGAGTAGTTCGCATATTTTGATTTTGGGGTCACGCACTGTCAAAATAAGCACTTCAACATAAAACGTTAGAGCAGTCCGCATATTTTGATTTTGGGGTCACGCACTGGTCAAAATAAGCACTTCAACATAAAATGTTAGAGTAGTACGTATATTTTGGTTTTTGAGTCACGCACCGTCAAAATAAGCACTTCAACATAAAATGTTAGAGTAGTACGTATATTTTGGTTTTTGAGTCATGCACCG